AATGGAGATTAGATCAACTGATATGTTGTCTATTGACATGTGATTTTTTGTGATATTCTGATGGCCGCTATTGTCATAATGGCTTAGTGCTTTCTCTTGATAATTATCTCTGGTTGCCCCTGACAACTCACTCTTGTCGTGGGTGACCCTGAAGGTGTCGAGGACGTGCTGGGGCGCCCTGGGTCGAGGGCTACGGTGAAGGGCGGCCCGTGGCCCTGGCGCCAGTCATCAGGGTCCCCAAGCCTCACCCGGGCCACCACCTGGGCCCCGCCGTTCTCCACCACCTCCACCTCCCGCGGCACCGCCAGGAACGGCGGGTTGTCGTTCACGTCCGTCACGTTCACCTGCAGGAAGAGCACCCAGCCAGGGTGAGGTCATCTTCAGCATATGGTTGACCATCCCTCCATGGATATAACGACATTCCAAAGACAGTGACAAGTTGTGTACTTACAGTGCCGAGACAGTGTCAAGTTGTGTACTTACAGTGTTGAGACAGTGTCAAGTTGTGTACTTTCCGTGCCGATACAGTGACAAGTTGTGTACTTACAATGTTGAGACAGTGTCAAGTTGTGTACTTTCCGTGCCGATACAGTGACAAGTTGTGTACTTACAGTGCCGAGACAGTGTCAAGTTGTGTACTTTCTGTACGGAGACAGTGATATTTTGTGTACTTGCAGTGTTGAGATAGTGTCATGTTGTGTACTTACTGTTACGGACCCGAATCCAGCGTCCGAGCACGGAGCAGTGACGACCCCGCCATCTGTGGGTCAGCTCCCGAAACCCCCTCCAAATGGACGAAGACACCTAGTGAGGACGAAGTGTACCGGCCACAAGGGCCAGTTTTCCAGTCCTGTTCAGCTCACAACACCGCCGCTGCTGACCTCTGGTGAGGTGGTGCTCAGACGACAATGCCATCTATGGAGTGGATATGTCGGGCGTTTTGTGTCTGAGCCTGTAAGTGAGGTGCTTTAGTGTGTCCCTGTTATTGATGACGTGTCTGCTTACAGAGTCGACCTGGGACTGCTGTAAGGGAAGTTGAGTCAGTCTACCCAAGGCAGTCGTCCCCATACCAAGTGCTTTGCTGCAGCAGCTGTGAGTCGCCTCCCGGAGGAACACTGTGGTGTTACCCTGCCAGTGAAGTGGCAGTTGAAGGATTGTCGTACCCGGGACCGACTGTTGGAGACGATTGACCACTGGGGTATTGTAGACAGGAGAGTGATCTGTGGTATCACACGAGGCTCCTGACTAGGGCGCTACCCTAGTATCGCTCGTGGAGTTGCCTGAACAGCGTTGCTGATCCAGAACCGGCCAGCAGTTTTGCTGGACTTGTGATTGACGGCCTCCACGGCGGTGCCCCAGTGGAACTGTGTTTTGGCTGGCCTGTGGCCGGGGTAGACTCAGCTTGTTGAAGGATTCGTCGAGAGACCACGAGAGCACCAAGGACTTGGCACCGAGAGGATCCAGAGTCTTCAGGAGAAGACGACCGTGTATATAATTCCCAAGTGCAGTGTTAATACCCCTCCCCCTGTGTAACTTTTTATATATTATTTATTGGTGAAGGTATTAATTATAATCTTAAGTTTTTGCCTTTCTTTCCCTTCCCCTTTTAGTTTACTTGCGTCACTGATCACATCCCTTGAAAGCCACTACTGGCTTGGGGCCGGATACCCTTCCTCTAACAACATCAGAGTAAGAACCCAGTTGCGACCCGAGAGGGCCGTAACACTTACAGTGCCGAGACAGTGTCAAGTTGTGTACTTGCAGTGTTGAGACAGTGTGAAATTGTGTACTTTCCGTGCCGAGACAGTGACAAGTTGTGTACTTACAGTGTCATAAAGAAGGAATAACACTTCTGAAGAAGTATTATTAATTAAATACGTAAGTACTTACGGAAATTCCTGTCTTAATTCTTCCTTCGTATTCTGACATTGTCATATTATATAAATATATATGTGTATATATATATATATATATATATATATATATATATATATATATATATATATATATATATATATAATATATATATATATATATATATATATATATATATATATATATATTATATATATATAATTGTCGTACCTAGTAGCCAGAACTCACTTCTCAGCCTACTATTCAAGGCCCGATTTGCCTAATAAGCCAAGTTTTTCCCGAATTAATATATTACTATAATTTTTTCTTATGAAATGATAAAGCTAACCCTTTTCAATATGTATGAGGTCAATTTTTTTTATTGGATTTAAAATTAACGTAGATATATGACCGAACCTAACCAACCCTACCTAACCTAACCTAACCTATATATCTAGGTAGGTAGGTTAGGTAGCCAAAAAAGCTAGTTTAGTTAGGTTAGGTAGGTTAGGTAGACGAAAAGCATTATTCATGAAAACTTGGCCTATTAGCAAATCGGGCCTTGCATAGTAGGCTGAGAAGTGAGTTCTGGCTACTAGGTACGACATATATATATATATATTATATATATATATATATATATATATATATATATATATAAGCCTATACTTGCATAACCACAAGTGAAGATTAATAATCTTTGGACAACACCCACCAGTGGGACTCGAACCCAGAAAGCACAACTACCTTCCAGTAGCTGCCATAACTAGTATGCTTTAACCCACTACAACCATCAGACCCTACAAAGAAGTAGAGACTTCGAGATATATATACATCTCAAATATCTCCACTTCCCGAGGGCATCAGATGAGTGTGAGGTTTCTTGTGAGTTCTCTCACATTGACAGTGGCTTGACGAAAAATGCAGACTAACCTCACACTCATCTGGTGCCCTCGGGAAGTGGAGATGTTTGAGATGTATATATATCTCGAAGTCTCTACTTCTTTTGTAGGGTCTGATGGTGTAGTGGGTTAAAGCATACTAGTTATGGCAGGTACTGGAAGGTAGTTGTGCTTCTGGGTTCGAGTCCCACTGGTGGGTGTTGTCCAAAGATTATTAATCTTCACTTGTGGTTTATGCAAGTATAGGCTTATAAGCTGGACAAGAGTTCTCTCACATTGACAGTGGCTTGACGAAAAACGCAGACTAACCTCACACTCATCTGGTGCCCTCGGGAAGTGGAGATGTTTGAGATGTATATATATCTCGAAGTCTCTACTTCTTTTGTAGGGTCTGATGGTGTAGTGGGTTAAAGCATACTAGTTATGGCAGCTACTGGAAGGTAGTTGTGCTTTCTGGGTTCGAGTCCCACTGGTGGGTGTTGTCCAAAGATTAATATATATATATATATATATTATATATATATATATATATATATATATATATATATATATATATATATATATATATATATATATATATATATGTCGTACCTAGTAGCCAGAACGCACTTCTCAGTCTACTATGCAAGGCCCGATTTGCCTAATAAGAAAAGTTTTCCTGAAATAATATATTTTCTCTAATATTTTTCTTATGAAATGATAAGCTACCCATTTCATTATGTATGAGGTCAATTTTTTTAATTGGAGTTAAAATTAACGTAGATATATGACCGAACCTAACCAACCCTACCTAACCTAACCTAACCTATCTTTATAGGTTATGTTAGGTTAGGTTAGGTAGTCGAAAAAACATTAATTCATGAAAACTTGGCTTATTAGGCAAATCGGGCCTGGTATAGTAGGCTGAGAAGTGCGTTCTGGCTACTAGATACGATATATATATATATATATACATATATATATATATATATATATATATATATATATATATATATATATATATATATAATATATATATATATATATATATATATATATATATATATATATATATATATATATATATATATATATATATATATATATATATATATATATATATATATATATATATATATATATATATATATATATATATATATATATATATAATATATATATATATATATATATATATATATATATAGGGGTACCACCACTGGTTTAATTAAAGGGACCCACATCCTCGAAGAAGAAAATAAATAGTGTTCAGAGAAGACCTTGTGGATTCTCACTGAATACTTTAATCTTTTCCTCTCCTACCACCCCTATTATTTTTTTTTTTATTTGATTTTATTGCAATGTTACAGTTTACAGAAAACACACACTTATATAACAATATAACAATATACCAATCAGTGTTCGAAGACCTCGTCCAGTTCCTCGGGGGTCGGGTGCGTACCCAAGATACAACACGCATTTCCCCTCTGAACAGCGACACTGAGGCGCTGGAACATAAAACTGGCCGCTCTTGGGTCTCTAGTCTTCCCAATGAGTTCCTCGCCCAGCTCCTTCAGGAACTTAAGTGCACATTTACCCCAGGCGCCCAGAGTCTCAGAGCCTATTGGCACGAACCTGTAACAACGTTCTAGGTCCCTGTACTTGTTAGTTTTCTGGGTCTCCCTGAAGGTGGCCGCCCCGCCTCCCTCAGCTGCGCTGTAAGGTAGATAGGTATCAGCCAATGTGGATGCACACGTGTAGTCCCACACGACCTGTTTACCTTCTCTCCACGGCTGCAGGGTGACTCCATCTGGGCGTTTTTTGGCTGTTGTCAGGCCTGCACAACTGAGGTTCCCTTTGTGCTGGGCACCCAGCTGAAGCCAAACTTCTCTTGATGATGTCATTGACTGCTTCATGTCTGGCAATCTTTCCCTGTGTCTTACGACAGATGAGACCATGGCTGCCGTATTGGTCTGCCCGTGCATGGCCGCAAATACACCGGTGCTCGGTGGAGATAGGGGCGGCAAGGCGCAGAGCAACACCAATACTTAGGGTCCGATGGTCCAGGCGGGTCCCCAAGGCGGAATTAGGGACTGCCAACAGGAAGTCCCCGGCATGGGGAGCTTGCACAGCTAGAAGACGCGCTTTGTCCTTCCTGGAAGCTCCTCCAGCAATGATGTGGCGATGTTCTCCACTATGGGGCTATCCCATTTGGACTGTTTGCAGTCATTTGGAAAAGTCGGTCGAGGATGAGAGTTGACAAGAGTGTCCCACTGACCGGCTCCTTCCGCGAATTTGGGATCATGAATCCCAATGAAGTCTCTTAGGTGTTCCGGTAGTATTTCCTTAACTAATTCACCTGTTGCACTGGTCGAGGATAAGAATGCCGGCAATGCTAACTGGGTCGCCTTGCGAATACCTATCCCCCCGAGTCTAACTGGGAGCGTTGCTTGGTCCCATTGGTCATCTTGCAGGGAGAGGTTTAACACTTTCACGGTTATTGACCTTAGGAGTGTGTCATATTCTGTTAATTTTGGGCTGTCGAAGGAGGGAGCACACCTTAGGAAATAGGTCAGTCTGGGCAAAGCCAGGCACCTTGTGAGAAGGTA